GACTGATGGCTCATTAGTCTTACAGGAATCATACTGGCTGCAGACAGCTGCTTATGCCGTGGTCAATGTGCATAGAGAGGTTGTTGCCAAAGGTCGTGTGAATCACTTCTCTTTATCCTCATATACTGCTGAGCTTTTTGCAGGAGTTGCTGCCTTTGTCACCTCGAGTGTGCCTGTTGAGATCATTACCGACTGCAAAACTGTCGTTAATATGTTCTTCGAGCTCATTGAGTTGGGAACAGTCCCTCCCAATTGGGCGCACAGGGAATGGTGGACCTTTTTCTGGCAAGTTTATCGTGACAGGGACATAGGTAATGGATCGCCATGTTCTTTTGTGTGGATGCCTGCACACCAATGTGATGATGTGCCACTTCACGACATTGACGAAGAGATCTCGAAGCGTGTGGGGTGGCCTGTGGATCACCTCATCTGCAATCGGCTGGCTGACATCACAGCGAAACAACTTGCTTGGGATCTTGCTCCCATCAATCCACAGATTTTCAAACACCTACAGCATGAATGTTTTGCAAGACAGTCAGGGTTGGCACGCCTAAACCAATTCATTGGTTCAGACTGTCCGGTAAAGAATGTCTATGCTACCAAAGAGGAGGCCTTGCCCGAGTCCTCGCAGATTGGTTATGAGTCCCGCTTTCCGGAATGGGATTGGAACCCGCAGCTGAGTTCCTTCGGTTGGATTCCAGGTGCTTCACACGATATTGCAGCCGAATGTGGCAACTTATGCTCAGAGACAGACTGCGACACGTTGTCTTCGTTTCTTCTTTCTCTGAAATGGAAGATACACAAAGACTGTTCTGTTGCATATGTTGAGTTGGCGTTTATTTTTGCGGCTCGCGACTTCAAACTGGAGGAAATCGCTCCTCCTTGTACCTTTGGAGATTTGACCAAATTCCTCAAACGAGTTTGTGACCAGGTTTTTGCTTTACATCACCAGAAATTCCTTCCTGGTAAACATGAACGGGATCAAAGCCATTCCTGTGGTCGTGCCCTGCCGAGAGGGGCTATTTTCGGTGCCAGATCTTTTATCTCCAAGGACGAGTTGACTGGTTTTGCAAGGCTCATTATGGAAGGGGGCGGACGTACCCTGAAAACATGGCAGTTCGAGCTTTCTACGTGTCGTGCTTAATTCGTTGTGTGCTCTCTCAGTGTAGAATCTTTCATCGACCTGACCTGCGTGTCACCGATGATGCTGTACAACACAGGAAAGACAGATGCAACAGGTGGAGAAAGGTTAACCATGGTTAACCATGCCAGCTTCTTCAGTACGTGACCTTTTACTTTTGAAGGTTCCTAAGTGACCCTTAGGAGGCTTAAGTGACCTCAAACCAGGTTATCAAGTTCGGTCACTTTGAAGAACCAGGTGGTTAACCTTGATGTTGCAGGGAAACCGGGCTCATGCGGGCCACCTGGGCCCGCCGACCCTCCAAGGTCTCAACCGGTGCTGGCGCGTTGCTCCGTGCCCTTGGCAGAGGCCCGACCCCTCAGCCGGCACTGCGGGGGTTCAGTGTGTGACCGGACGAAAACCAGAGGGTGGCCTGGGTGGGCATTTTTATATGTCTTTCGCGTTTTGGTGTGGCCATGGGTCACCGCATTTAACAAAAGAATGTATAAATTATAACAACCAGGAGTCACAAAGGGGTGGTTTTTAGTACCTAAGTGAGTGGATAATGGGCACCCCTATCCTCCAATAGGCACCCCTTTGTGACTGCTGGAATATTACAACATTTGCAGATTTTGAGCAGGTGTTGATGATGCTGAGCTTCGAATGGGCATTGGCATTTGTGCCAACAACACTTGGTGATGTAAAAGGATCTCTCCTTTCTGCTGCAGCTCTTAACATTTCAAGCGCATGTGATGCATAACTAACAGAGACAGATACCTGTGCAGGTCTTGGATAGAACTGATCCCCACAAAGCCTCCCTTGCATCCACAGGCGTCTTGCCTCCCAAATGCGCGGCGTTTGGTGTTTCCCACGCCGGAGAGGTCTTGAGCCTTCTGGAGACGCAGAAGGAGCTGAAGCCTAGGGCCAGGGCACTCAGTTGTTCTGGATTCTGGGGCCAAGATGGGATCCAGGTAAGAATCCACCTGCACCACCTGAGTCTAGGATTGATCTTTCAAGAGTCTTCTTCACCTCTTGGCAAAGAGATTCTGTTGGACCAGGGTGACACCGGTGACACCTGACCAACTGCTTGGATCCATTTCGGGTCCACGTCGGATCCATCTCTTTGAAGACGTCGTTGTGTGTGGTGCTTTGGAACTCCAAGAGGGGAATTCGATCGCTCATCCAACCCTTCCCTAGGGCTCCAGGGACCTGCTGACAAGGTGGGACTGGGGTCGGTTTGGAGGGTCCAGTCATGCCTTTTGAGGAGGTACGACTGGAGCTCATCCAACCCTTTGCAACCGGTTTTGCAACGAGGGCTCCTGGATGGATCCCGATTTGGCTGGCAATGCCCGAGTTGCCCCGCCCATGCACCCACCGGACCCGCAAGAAATACAAATGCACCTTTTGATAGGAACAGGCTATAGGCTTGAACCTTGGAGCTTGCAGACATCAGTGAACTGTGAACAACACACCACACCATCCGATGTTTGGCATAGCTCAGTCATTCCGGATATGCTCTTCCATAGGTGACCTTCACCGCCGACGCGTCCGGACGGGCAGTTCCGCCTTTCCGGAACTGCCCGCGGTGCTGAGCTGCTCAGGCACGGAAGCTCTACTCACCCTTGGGGCAAGGGCCGCACGAGGCAAAGACACCTGGGCGATCGGTCGAGGTCGTGTGAGGGGGTGTGCCGATGTTTTGTAATCCAACTCAAGTGGGAAGGCACACCAGGACACAACAAGACACGTGTAGAAATGTGGAAGAAACATGAAGAACGTGTAGAATCATGCCAAAGACAACTGCCCTGACCTGTTCTCCCCATGGAAGAAAGCACCAAATACAACTGCTTAACTGCTAAAAATGGTCAAAGACCCATCAACACAGATTCAACTAGGACCCAAAAGCTCGCCAGGAGCTGCTAGAGGCGGAGCTCCTCGTGGGCTTCGCCTTCAGCACCAGCGAGGCTCTGGCAGTGAAGATCCAGTGCGGCACCGCAGGAAGATGGGACTGGTGACTGATGGCTGATGACTGGGACTAGCTTTGAAAGAATCGGACCAGGTATCTGGTGTTCGGCCACTCTTTGGATTGATCGGGACCAGGAGAGGTAGGAGTAGAAGCCATTGGTATAGCAGATGTCAGTAGAAGGTCCACGTTCCATCATCTCTCCATTGCAGTCGACGGCCCCCGCGTGCTGCGCGAAGCATGGACTGGGATTCCCGTTCGTCCTCGGCCCCCATCCGAGGTCCATCCAGGCGCGAACTCCGGGTGCCACGCCAACTTCGGTGCGGAAGAAGCAAGTGGTAGAAGATGTGCAACTGCAGAGTGACAGGTGCAACCACATGATGTGGTACTGCACAGAGGGCACACCCGAGCTTGAGACCCAGCTGATCAGATAAGCCCATTGATTGTACAGTGGATCAGATCGTTCTTTCTCTCCTCGCTTTCATGTTTAGAGCAGCTTTCTTGGAAGGTGTCACCACGAGGTACCAGAATCTTGATCTTTGGTGGATGTCAACCTCATGTGTGCCGTGAAGGAAATTATCAATCATATAGAGAGCAATCATGAGCAATCCCAATGCAGTAGGAACTGGGAAACCGATTTGTCAATGTTTCTTGAACAAGTACGGCGCAATCGTGAATTCTTGCAGGGGTGCAACCTGAGGACTTTCTGTTCCAGCATATTTGGCTACGGGGGGCACTTAACGCCATGTTTGCCATTGGCCTTGTTCAGAGAGCTGCTATTCATGTTCTGATTTTTATATACCCATTATGCAAGAGTCTGGGTTGAAACAAAACCCTTGGGCTGCAGGAGTATCTCCACTATTTCGGCAGCCTTTCTGGCATACCATTTTGGTGAGCCCACACCCTGGAAGATGTAACCTTTGCTCTCTAAGACATCGTGGCTGGACAGTTCCCTGCAGCAGGGCGGGGCTCACCAGCAGTGAATTGTTCATTGTGACCCGTAAGTCAAGACTATTGAAAAGCCACCCTGAAGAACAGACTACCTTAGTGAATAGTATTTCCGTGCTTCAGTGAATAGTCACCCTTAGTCACCCTTAAGTAGCCATCCTGAAGCACGGAGCACATTAGAATACATCAGATTTAGATCATGTGGAGCTTTCGCGCGCGTGCGCGTGGTCCAGGGCATGGAGATCAGCATGACCAGGCCTTTGTACATTCGCTCGGGCCACCCAGCGCAGATGTCGTGCCGGGGGTCATGAGAAGTGGACATCTCGGAAGGTTTGAGGAGGCTTGTCGATATGAACCTAAGGACTCACAAATTGTATGATAGCGTTTTTCTCGATTCTTTGGAACAATATCAGCCTGAAGCAAACAGTTTGCACCTTGCCAAGGCTTGGAATTCATTGGGCCAAAGAAAGGAATGCAGCTGAATTCACCCATCATGTGATGCATCATTTGCATTCGAAAGTTATATGGCAGCTCTGTGAACGACTCTGGTACCGAAGCATCGCTATCCTTGGTCACTTGAAATTCACTCTCATTTCCGATCCTTTCCACCCACCCCAGATCCAAGAAGGAAGGGCCAGCTATCAGAAAAACGTGCCGCCCAGCTCCAATAGGCGCATTTTGCCAGCAGAGCTGCACTGGCGCGGCTCGGGACCCCTGGTGCTTCGAAACTGGAGCTGTATCACGTGTTCATCAACTCGGATTGAGTGTGTTGTCATGTGAGAGAGGCCGTGAACATACATGGCGAATTCATGGTGACTATGTGCACCACTTCCAGTGATGTGTGTTGGATCTTCGGTGCTTCCAAAGATTCTTTTTGGATAGCTCGCCTCCAAGTTGGTGCTTTTTTTGATCTTTTTGTAGGGGAGAATGTGCCCATGCATTCATGGATGTCAAGCAAGCGCTTCGCTTTGCAGCATGACCTTCGGCTCAAGGGGGGGATTGGAACGCTCCGTCGAACCACGGACAAACACCTCGAAGGCCGGCATCCAGTCGGTTTGGTGCTTGCGATGGGGTGCGCGTGACATGGCGCGTGACACGCGACTTTCCGGATGCATGTTTTTTAGACTCGAAGTGGGTACCCCCCCACAAACTAACATGGAACCTGAGAGCTGACCGGTGGAAGACCATGAAATCTGAATACCAACCCAGTGGTCCTGGGGGTCCATGTGGGTCCGAATAGCAGGGAATTCATCAATTGTTTCTCCAAGAAACACTTTGCATAGAAAGACGACCGTTATTCAGGTTAGGACATGCAGCTATTTGGAGGTGTTGGGTCGTTTTTTAGAATATACATGTCCTAGATTTATTTAATCAATTGACATGCATGGAAACCCATTGGTGACCTGTTTGATTGACCACGCTTTTCATGATTTATGTTTGACCTTTTCTTCCTTTCACCAACACCCCATGTGGCGTATATCGCAAAGATGCCAATAAGATCCAACAGATGTTCAAGGACCCTATAGACTATAGACTATCCCATAGGTACCCCAGGTCTTCCGGGTCCTATTTCAGGTCACTAAAAACCTATGCCTATATATCTTGGTTGATCCACTGGGTTTCTTCGTTGACGTCACTGCGATCACAACGTGGACATCGTTCGCCGCCGGAGCCTCCCGGGCTTGGAACACTATGCAGGACCGCCTTTGACACTGACCTGACCCCACTCGACGAGATGGTCTTCCGCCGCTTTCGTGGACAAGCGTCCGGGCCCAGCCCGGTACCTTCGTTTGCAGAAAAGGCGAGAGCAGAAGAAGACTGGTCACTGGGTTTCTTTAATGTTTCTTCGATCTATGTTGATACGATCTATAGTTCAATTTGAAGTAATTCCTTTTGTGACTTGTGGTGAGTAAGAAGAGGATCTGACTGTTAGCAGAATCGAACCAGAGCCTGGGTTCTTAAGAATACCACCCCGGCCGGAAGTTTGGTTTTCAAATACCCAGCGGCTGTTCATACATGTTCATACGACCAGTGGCTCGAAAGACAAGCATAGACAGAAACCCAGGTTTCTCTCCAAACGACACCCCTCAAAATCTCGACAATGAGCGACCACTCCACCCAAGAGGGGGTTGTCATCATTTCTTCTCCAGTTGTTTCTGGCATGCTCACTCTGAGGAAGCTTCGCTGATGACCCGAGTGAAGATGCATGAAGAGGTCGTGATCCAGATCCGGGGTGTTTTTGTGCACGATGAGTTGTTTTCTGGGGGGTCGTTTAGGGGCACGCACAGATCAAACAGGCAAGCATCAGATAACAAAGCTCCAAGTCAAAGCAGGTAGGCTAAATAGAGTATGCCTATTCTTTATGGCAAACAAAGACTTGCATGTTTGGGACCCAGCTTAATTAGGGCACAATGCAAGTAATACAAGCAGCGCACAATATGACATGTTTGTTGACATTTAATGCAATATACATTGAATAAACCATGTGTCCCTGATTCTTACCGTTGCAACTCATTATACCGCGTAATCCATGTTCATATAGGTCCGTGTGATCGAAAAAGAGCCAGAAGCAGACATCTCCACCATCTCCACCATCTCCACATCCGCCAGGATGGCTGGGCCGAAGTGGGCGACGTGAAACAACAGCGTGCCGGTACAGGGGCCACCACCGATGCTCGGGACCGGTCGGTCTCGGGGGTGTGGGAGGTTAGCTCCGCTCCGGGTGAACGGGGAAGTTACTTCACCCCCCAACCGGACATGTTTCAAAGCCCTTTTTCAGGCCCCAAAGAAGCCACCTGACATGGAAGGATCAAGGAAGAACAGGCTCATGTATGGCCCAAAGAAGCCACACTGACATGGAAGGATCAAGGAAGAACAGGCTCATGTATGGCCCAAAGAAGCCACACTGACATGGAAGGATCAAGGAAGAACAGGCTCATGTATGGCCCAAAGAAGCCACACTGAGCCCATGTGTTGTTTACAGTTGTTGAGTTTAGGTTGTTGTTTGTGGGTGCTTGTTCTGGCTGTTGCTTGAGTTGTGCTTCGATGGTTTGCGGGTGCCCTACGGAAAGCATTTGGATACAGACGATGTGCTCTTGACATGGTCACCTGGCCATCGTTTGAGGTGTGCCAGGAGCGTGCCTTTTTGTTCGAAAGGCCACTCATGGCCACCTGCCCTGGCAGCTCTTTCCACGAAACTACCCTGCTCATCCAGATGGGAATCCGGGAAGCACACTGCAGGACATGAACACCCACTGTGGGTCTCTGAGACTCTGGGTCTCTTACACTGGACACTGCAGAAGACGACGTGGTTTCTGTCCTTTCTGAATTGACGCTTCTGACGGGATCAAAAACCGAGGGAACTCCAGCTGAAAGATAGACAACCAGACAACTGCCAGGCCACACAGCATCCGCTCAGCTCCGCGCTGCAAACTCCATTGTTCCGCCCACTTCCGCCCACCCGAGGATGAGGAAGCCTTCGAGCTAGTGACTTGCCCTTACGCTGGGTCGCAGCGGTCTGCGGTCTGCGGTCGAGCCGCGGTGCGACCGCGGGAAAGACCGCCGCGGGGTGGAGGAAGTTCCGATGAACTGAGAGACATCGGAAGCCATTGATTTATTGGTTATGGCTTAAACGAGTTGGACGTGTTTTTTATTTTTTTGGGGTGATTTGTTCCAGAACCCATTGACGAGTCGTTGGAGAAGCCTTGGGTTTGTCCCAGATCTGTCCCAGACTTAGCTATTGAGCCGTCGGTCCACACATGTCCACACAAGCACGATTTTAGAGATGTCGGCCTGCGACTGAACCATCATCATCCACTGGTAATGGGATAGACCCTAAATATGTATAAGCTTTCTGAGAAGAACGTCCATGTCTAAGCAATGTTGGGTGTTCACACTAGACCTAGTATGTCCTTCTAGTCCTACATTTTTTTGGTATTTTCCCGACCCGCTATTGCATGGTTGTGTCCAACTGCTTGGACTGCTTTATATACTGGTTCTTGAGTATCCAAACTGTTGGCCTTTTGAGCCTCATTGTCACCTCAAGGAACCATCGAGCTTATTCGTGCAGCCATGGGGCAAGAAACAAAAAGATTTGAAAAGATGGATTGAACATGGTTGTTCTCCCTAAAGAGCATTTCTTCAGATAGGGCCTTTCACAGATAGGGGGTCCACCGAGTGACTGCTGTTCACCTTAATTAGTTCACCTGGTTGGTTCTTTTGAACCCCCATCTCCGAGCGCAAGCGCGCCATCCACCTCCGATCACGCTTAGGACGAGGCGGAAGAGATTTGGGACTCTGGGCGAAGTCCGTTTTTTGGGTCCTTTCAAGTTCATCGAGGCAAAAAGACGGAGTGGTGGGGAGTCAGAACCACTACAAATTTATATAAATTTGGGGTCTATAGTGCATGTTAATTGCTACATAAATGTTGTTGGAAGGTACTTTTAATCAGATATTTTGCCACACTCTCAATAAAGTGAAGAACTCAACCTATGCGTTTTTTCAGATTCAACTTGTTCTTTCTCATGGGGCACAAATCAATAGCAAGCGACCAACACATAAAATCCTCTCCAAAAACAAAGCGGCCATGGTAGTAGAAACTGTAGTGGGTCAAAAAAGTGGACCAAAAGCTGGTGTTTGAGCCATTGTGGTTTTGCGGATCAACTGAGTTTAATGACTTGCCCCGGGGGTTCCTGGGTGAATCTCTGAAGCTTCCTCATCAAGCCACTCCAAGCCCATGCCACCTAAAATGGGACCCTGAACACCGACCAATGAGTCGCAGCAGCGTGGATGGCAGCAGTCCTGCGGCTCCGCTGGCTCGGCTGGCTCTTAGGATTGGGCCTTGGAGGGTGATTCCAGCGAGGGCAGCGTCCACCAATGGGTCTTAGATGACTTCCTGGCCCCTCGGCGGCGGCCCGGGGCGGCGGCCCGGGTGATGCTGTGCTTCGGTGGAGGTTCTGTGAATTGGTTGATAGGTTTCCAGGTGTTTGGTTCCTTTTGGTGTTGCCCAAGGAGATTCTCTTGGATTTGTTCAGGGAAGTCTCCCAGCTGGCAAACTGGAGGGTGGATACAACCAGAGATGCTGGGGGATGTAACGCCTCCAGTGCTATATATGATTTCGACTGGGTCATCTTTGTGAAGTTGCTGACGCCTTTTGATTGCATGCTGTTATCACGGGTGCTAGGTATTGTCGCAACTATATAGTAACCCGTAGGTCTAGAGTCTAGTCTAGAGGGCCACCAAAGTGGGTAGATTCACTGCAAACCTCAGGCTTTTCTGGTAGATTCACCCTGTTTTTCTTTTCTTTAACCCTAGGATTGGGATGTCCAAGTCACTAGCTTTCAGAAGGACCTCAGCTAGAGAACTGGCCAAAGCGGCGATGGCGCATCCGTCCAGGTCAGTGGCGATCCACCTGTGGCGATCGCCTCCGCCCCGGAGGTGGTGGAGACCCCTCAGAAGGAGACGAGAAAAACCCGGGAGAAGAGATAGATAGGGTGGGGACGTACGTGGGATCCACATATCACATACCCTCTGAGGTATGGTGAGGAAGGAGAAGAGATGTACGTGGGGAAGTACGTGGCTCTAACTGGACGAAATACCTCAGAGGGCCCTCCAAGTTGAGGGACGGTGAGGAAGGAGACCAACTAGTGACTATATGTAGGTGCCAGGGGAGGGCCCAGTCATACCGTACCTGAGGTACGGTGGCAGTGGATCCATAGGGATGGAAGTGGATTTCAACAATTTTTGTTTGCAAAGGAAGTTTGTCAGAGTGTGAGGTGATGTGTTCGTCAAGAGTGCAATGTAGACAGGCCGTGGTTGTGCAGATGCAGAAGTATGTTGCATGAAAGGTGTTCAAAGGCTTTGGACAGCAGATGGAACCACCATGGGTGGCGACATTGGTACACCCCGCATGTACTTAGTTCAGATGCTACTTTTCTGCAGCCGAGGAGGCTTTCTTTAGACACACCAGTGGTCCTACTCTTTGTGTGTTTTGCGTTTTGAAACTGAATGACTTTGATATGTAGATGAACTGCGCTCGCCTTCAGATCGAGGGCAAGTAACAATCGAACCCAGCCGCTTGAAACCCCACCCTCATGCAAGTGTGGAAGAAGATAAAGCTCAGCAAGATGTGTTTAAATAACATCAGGCTGGACTAATCCCAGTACTAATCCCATGAAAGGACAGATCTGGATATGGATATTCTACACCAGTTCATGGACCAAGCCTCCACCAGGCGCAAGAAATCAGTTCATCCAAGTGCAGGAGCTGGAGACCACCGAGATCGAGATGACTCCCGATGTGTCCCCCGAACCACCTGAAGAACATGGCTATCGCTGCCGTGGTGCCGACCGGATGGGTCAAGGGTGGGGGAGCGGTGTCCGGAGACGGTGTCCACCACCCGGGTTCAGTGGATTCGCCATGGCCATGAGACGTTTTCTGTTGGAGCCTGTCCAGTGTTGAATGCAAATGGGCTCCAAAAGACCTTCTCGGAAGATACTTGGTACTTACACTCTCCACGCTCGAACTGGGTAGGTCCTTGCGGGACAGTGATTGTTCGTACTGGCGTCCTTTTGGACCCTGAATGTCAGACTTAGTCCTTTTGGCTTAGAAAGAACTTCTTAGCCACTAAAGATCACTAGAGCTTAGACCCTTAGCAAAGGACCGGGCTGGACAGCCAAGGCCTGAAAGAGTATTTGGGGGCCTTGAAGGAATGAGAAATGGACTACTGAAAGTGGGGGCCTCTTGTAAGAACATGTTCTTCCTTTCCTTGAGTTGATTCGTTTGGAGGGGGTAGGGAGCACCATAGACTCGGAACCTACCGTGAGGAACCAGCTCAACCCACTGGTCAATTGGAAAAACATCGAGCTCGTCCATGTAGAAACAGTGGAATAAACAACCTTCCTGTGTGTCCTCCACAAACATAGGTTTCTTACTCGACCTCCCATTAATTGTTCTTGAGATGTGGAGATCCCCTTGGCGTTTGCGTTCCCGAGAATGACGCAGGCTGCAACGCGTGCATTTTCCATGGCTCTGACATTTTGTCTTCCAACTACCAAGCAATGACAGGGCCAGGGCAACTTGGCACAGAACGTGTGCTCACTTGCTTCTCACTTGTCCTGGCGACTCTCTCTTTCTCTCTCTCTCTCTCGTTTTGTTGGTCCGTTTTCAAGCTTGGTTCAATGGACGGAAATGTGTGGCGGAACTCCCTTGGTGAAACTGGCTAATTTCTGTGTTCACGAGCTTTACTCGTATGTGCAGTTGTCGTCACGGGAGGGATCAAAGAAATCAAGGGCACTGCTGGGCACTGCTGTAACCCGATGCTAGCTGATCACTCCCTAGGGCTCCAACCATATCCTCAGGTTCGGTGGTTAGACCCCCCTGGCACCCACCCCAACCATCTTCGAAACGGAGGTGGGCCAGGAGGTTTAGGGACTGCTTTGGAATGCTTTTCGGAAGTGTCGGAGAGGTGGATCTATAGAGGTGTTCAGTCTCACTTTTGTCCTTACTGAGGATGTTTTGTTTGTTGGAACCCCGTTCTGGGCACATCTGGGGAACATGTTGTTTTTTCTTCTTCGGGTCCTGGACTGGAAATAAGTATCACATCCAACCACTATAGGAAAACGCTTGGCAGACGGCAGATGTTGGGGAACTCTTGATGTGTGGGTTCCAGTTGGCGTGTTCCCGCTGAGGTACTTGATCGATGCGACTCAGAATACCACGGCAGCCACTGATCCTTGGCTTGAGACTGCTCGAGACTGGTGGAGGGAAGTCCCTGGTTGTTAAAAAAACGTTCTGATGGAGATGTGAAAACAAGACAATCACCTCCGCACTTCCACCAGACGTCCGTGGGAAGAGAACATGTTTCATCGCCAGTCAGGCTTAGACACATCTCCCAATTCTATGGTCTGGAAGTACGTATGCCAACCTGAGTGGAACATGGAGACCTGATGAGATCTGAAGCCAGATCCTCCATAGCGTTTTTTGTTCCATACCACGGCCCCCTAAGGGGTGGTTAATGGACACCCCTTAACCTCTAAGGAGCTATTATTAGACACCCCTTAGGGGGCAAAGGCATAGGCATGGTGCTGACCATCCAGGAAGAAGAAGAACCATCCAGACCTCCAGTTTTGCTTGGTCCACGCCGCCCGCCCTGAGGACACTCAGACAGTCGTTTACACCACGGGGTCCTATGTGATCCGCGAAGTCTCCTGCGAGTTCTGTGACAACAAGCTGGGCCGCTTGTTATATATGGGTTGAACTCAAGTGCTTGGCCAAGAGGTTGGAGGGGGGAAGATGATTAAACAGGAGAACTAATCATAATCCTGAAACCTCGACATAGACCTTGACAATGGTCCCCCTGGAAGACTATATTCCTCCTTGAAAAGATGGAGACTCTCCTCATCTCTTCTCCCGGTGCTATACATGTTCTCTCGTCTCCCAGGTGTGACCTACGTGGTCGCGCCGGACGCGCGGAACGAGTACAAGGCGCTACTACGTACTTCGGGCCCAAAGAAATAGCTTGGGGATCTGGGTGCGGGACATGGGGAAGGTTGAAACTGTTTGAAACCATAGGGTCTATTGACTTGTGATTCCTATGGCCACTAGTTGTTGTTGGTTCCATAGTCCCATGGAGTATTTGGGAGCTAGTTGTGTTTCCTTTGGGCCAGGGCCACAGCCTCCGACATTCACCTCTTTTGAGCAAAGATGGACTTCCCCCGGACCTTTGTCCAGTCGTTCGGCAGGGGACTTGGGACTGGCACTGGGTGCTTTGGCAGGGAATAAGGGGATGGAATCCCTCCACAAGAGAGGTATCGATCGATCCTGTTCCTTCCATAGAAATCCACATCCCTTCCCTTCCTTTGAAGGTACTTGGACCCTCACTTCGCCACTTGGACCCTTACTTCGCCTACATCAACGAGTCTCCTTCCATCTCCTTCCTCACCTTCGATAGGAGGGTGGCAGGATCGATCTCCCTTGATCCCTCACTGTACGCACGAATCAGACCAGGTGGGCAGAGGTTGTTCCCCTGGTTTTCCGGGTCCGACCTGGTCCCGGTCACTTAACCTTTGATCCGTTAGTAAGCACGAATCAAACCACCAGCAGAGGTTTTGAAAAGAACCCGAGCTTCGTTTCGATCTATCCCAGGGTACCCGGGTACCCCTGGTAACTTCCGGGTCCGACCCCGGTCCCGGTCACCGGCGACCGGTCCCGGTCGCAGGTGGGCAAGTTCCTTCTGGGCGCTGACCGATTGGTCCTGCCGCCCGGGGTCACGCATCCGAAGGCAGATCCGAAGATCCGGACCGGGGCGCGGACGGTGTCGCGCGGACGGTCCGTTTTCGGTCCTGGATATAAGGGGCTTTATATAAGGCTTTAGAGAAGTGGATAGAAATGGCAACTGTAAACATGCATGATATAGAAAAGACCATTAAACATGAAAAGCATTGAACAATTGTAGAGGATTGCGATTCCCTCCTTGATTGTGGGGCAGGCTTCTTGAACATACAGGTGCCGAAATGATACGAAAACCATGCAAACACACTTGATGATTGATCGTTTAGACATGTTTAGAATACTAGTGCCAGATTACACCTGTACACTAGTGATGTATAATATATATATATATATACTGTATACTAGCATGCTTACAGTACAAGACGTTTTAAAACAACCATTGCGTGACTTTGCATAGCGCCGCCTTTGCCAGGTCAAATGAACTAAATCCGTGAGCACGACCGTCGGCGAAAACTCGTGAACAGCAGACCGACGAGATCTTCGTGACCAGTCGTTATTAAAGCACTGGATGTGGGTCAGTGCACTCTGGCACCCCGGGGACCAGAGGGTTTTTTTAATCCTTAGGAAAACCGGATCAACATGTGAATAACCTTCTTTGTGTAGTCTAACAGGCAAGATATTGATACTCCTTGGGTTCGTTGTATAGGTCAAAGGCCAAAACTCGTGTGGCGTTGATGTCAGCAGCTCGGCTAGCAAACTAGAGTTGTCCAAGCACCAACTCTTATTCAAGCACCATGTGTTTTGGCAAGTTCCAAGAAGGATGCACTGGTTTTGGCAAGCAAGTCAGGCGCCATTGATTTCCATTTTGTGATATACCTTGAAGGCTTACCCTGTGATAGTAGTAGGTACAGTACTCATAGCTGCCATTGGAATCCAGCATAAGCGCATGTGAGCGCAGCTTTCAACATCCATATTATCATATCGCCCTTTGTGTGTGTGGGTTCTTGTTTTTCTTCAACTTTTTTTCAGTCAACTCCCTTGTTCAGTGTTTGGACACTGAGATGCCAATGTCTCCACCAATGGCTTTGTTTTGGTCTCTTTGTCTCGTGATTGCAGGGGGGTTGCCGGGGAATTTTCACTGATCCAGATCCTTCTATTGCAGTGAATTCGGTGATCCATGTGATGCAAAAGCTTATCACCTTTTGTAGATATGCAAACTGCTTGGCCCTAAGAGGGGCAAACAACTCCTGATCTTCATGAAGACTCTTTCTTTATAAAGATGTGTTCGACTTGTTTGGACCATGAGAATAAAGTTAGTACCAAATCACAAGTTGAACGTGGTGATAGATCTTCCCCTGAAGGTAGAACCAATGTGAAACGGGATTCCTATGATTTTCCATCTATTTGGAATGACACAGCCCTGCGGATTAACTTTATATAATGCTTCAGCCCTGCCGTTGTCCAAGTCAAGTCAATTTCACAGCGGAATGCTCACTGGAACAGAGCGGAAAATAGGCCCTTTGGAAGGTTCCTCCTGTCACGATCTTTAAATTCTTGCTATTTTACACTTGGCCGCCAGGTGGTTTGAGGCTTGCTCTCATACTTTGCTGTTGATACAAAAAGCACTTTACTGTTGATACAGCACGCATTTCAAAGCCGCGGAGTTGCATGCTTCTTGGCGGTGCATAGTCTGGGTGCAGAAGTCGGCGAATTTTAGCCGGACCACGTCCGGTCCGTTCGAGCAAGTATGGCAAGCAAGACCTGATCGAGCAGGGGGACCCTGCAAGCCCCACGATACACGGCAAAGAAGAGGTCATGCGAGTCATGGGAGTTTTGAGGTTGAGAATAATGTCCAACTGTGAAGACAAGAAACGCTCTTCATACCGTTGCTCAGAGGAAGGTGGCTGTTTTTTGAATAGAGAGCCATGCGAGCAACGCCGACAAATCTTTAGTTGCAAGCAGGCACCCAGTAGTAGTACTGAATCGGCAGTGGATCTTCTGGAAACTTCCATCGCACAGGTTATCCAGCCCTGCGCCTTTGTACAAAATGTCCCCAGTCCGCGCTTCGACGCTGTTCTCGTCAGCGCTCGTGTCATTTGAATGACCTGAAAAAATGCGTGGAGCGGGTCCAGATGTTGGGATCCAGGGCGGCCTCAGAAGAATGAATTAAAACGAAACATACTTAAATGAGTGTGAGGTTAGCATCTAGATAGTGTGGTTATTGTACGTATATGTGTACATACAAGCACTGCGCCCATTCAAGTAGCCTAAACTATAAGAAAGGGCAACTGCTTTGACTAAGGGAAGGATGGAGAGAAGAAGGGGCTATACCTGCCTTGAAGAGGCCCCCCAAGATGGACAACCCTGCACTATGCATAGATCCTCCATTGGACCCCCATTGGAAGCGCTAGGTACTTTTAAGTGGAGTCGTTCGCACCTATGCGCACCTTGCACTTGAGCGGTCTGTGAAATTCCGTGAAGAACCTTGGGCCATGAGTTCATACATGGGTGGTGTGCCATTGTAGTTTGTTGGTTCAATAGAACCCCAATGTTTTGTGGTTCATCAACGTTGCTCAAGAATCCATGCATTGATTTTCCTGTTTGTTTGATCTCGTTGGCTTTTTCTTTCGTTTTCGCTCCACACCGGGTAGAGTCGAGCGCCTTCTCCGTCCCAGGCGGGTTCAGCACTCAGGAGGCTTCAGCATGAGACCGTTCGGGCGACCCAGCGGGCGACCCATCAACACGGATGGTTTTTGGTGGGAAAGGGAGCATGGACGGCGTGTTAGTTGTTCATCCGTAGACCAGTAAGAGGGTAAGTTCAAAGGTTCAAAGATGATCACTAGCTAGTGGCATGAAGATGGTTCTTATTGATGTGTTGGCGCATGCTGACTAGCGACTAGATGATCGAATTCATCCTGGGTGTTCGACCAAAAGCGGAGACATCTTCTCGCAGCACTTCTTTGTGTAGTGTTATGTTCCGAAACATGACTGTAGGCTCAACTGGGCTTCATTGGGCTTTCGTCCTCTCAAGAGCCAGGCTTTGACTGACGCTTCCAAGCCACAGTGGTCTCAGATCTTGCAGTTCCAGGAGGGGCGCCACGGTCTGACCTAACACGGTGGGCTTTCGGAGAGCTGAAGCAGGAGGCTCTTTTCACTAGCCTTTCACCAGGTGAAGGGGTTCATTTATTGTCATCAGCTTTGCAGAGCCAGGTCCTGGCAGCTTTGACGTTTCTGTTGGGAGTTTAAAGTGAAGGATTGCATAAGGATTTTGAAGCTGATCAACTGATCAACTGCAGATCGATATACTTTGACCATGCTGGACCTCTTGAGGTGATGGCGAGCAACACATTGCGACATCAGGCTTTGCCCTTCTTTTTTCCTAGACACTGCATGTATGGCATATTATTTACCTACCTTTAGGGGTGGTGTCAGACGTCAATGTATGTAAACATGCCATACATGGAGTGTTTGGGTATGGTTACAGCTTGGTTCCTTAAGCAAGATCTCATTGTCGTTCACTCCCAGCAGTTGTCAATGGTGCACCTCCTCCACTTGTCCGTTGAGCAATGCGTAGAAGCGTGGAACGTGCAGCACGTCCCAGCAAGCTCACAGGTTCCGGTCTACATCGGTGACTTCCATGTCTCCTACAGCCCAGATTACCGTCTGGAGCTTAGTTCGCCACGGACCTCCACGGACCACCCACCCGGCTCCATCCACAGGAGGGTGGAGGCAGACCCTGCTTGGCGGCACTTGACAACTGCCAAGCTGTCGTCTGAACTGGCAGCTTTAAACAGCGCCTCGCCGTTTGGGGCTTCATCGGCGCACGGCGCACGGTTCCCAATATTGGCTTCTAGATGTGGCATTTGAGGTCCTCACGGAGCTGGTTCTTGTCGTTCTCCCGCTGAGGCTTGCATTTCCAGGTGCTATCGCCCGGGCGCCTGTGAAGTGACGTCTTAGAAAGTCTTTGGGGGTTCAGGGGACTGTAGAATATATTATAAAGCGTTGCAGGATGTTTGATATGTTACAGCTCCTACATTACGTATAGAATAGATGTTTGATAAGGTGTGTATAGTGTTGTTGTGCTGTCTTATTTGGTAGTTCAATGTAGTTCAGGAAAATCAGAGGGTGGAACTCTGGACCAAACCTTTCTTCCACATAACGTCCAGATGCTAAGACCAGAAGCCCAGCAAGTCCCTAAAACACCCGACCATATTTTAGTCATAGCATGGCCCCAGCGTTGTTTTCATCTAAAATCCTTGGTTTCGGAGGCTTACAAATCCGTTTTCTTCATGGTTCTCACTGGCCTTAAAGAGTCTCAAGTTCGTTTTTGACACCATGCTTTGATCCACTGGTTCGGTCACGCAAGGCAGGAGAAGGCGCTGGCAGAGCTTTGGATGCCGCTGAGCACGGCCATGGAAGAGTGCAGAGCCACTGAGACTGCAGCGGCACAAGGATGGCAGGACCCCAAGATGTGGCAAACCAGTTTCAGGGGTTAAAGGACCTCATAACCCCCCAGGTCACCATCTTCATAAGAGCAACGGCGGCAGAACAGAGGAGCAAGTTATAAGTCAGGTTTTTATAGTCCTTTGCTGCAGTCGTTGGTCCAAAGCTACTTGGGGTTTGAGCGACCTCTTTTGAAGTTGTAGAATCAATAGAATAGCACATCAGATGGCCGAAACGCGGTGTAAGTAGGGGAAACAACTGACGATTCGACTTCAGGAACCACAGCAGTGGCTGTGGGGTCAAGGTGGTGTATGGCCTTGGCCCAGTTGTTGGGGGCATATATCCTTTTGTCTTTCTTTGGTCATCCATTATTCGATACCAAGAAATCACACGATAGTTAGGGTTAGTGAGGGATACTGGATACTGGGAGTGAACCCAATGAACCACCTGCCCAGTTGGCAGACTTGTGTTGAACCGGGCGGGCGGGGCCTAGGGCAGAACATGGCCATGGCCGACGACCTACCGCTTCGAAGTATGTGGCAAATAGGTGGCACATGGCCTCACTGGGTTGGCAGAAATGTGTTGGGAATGGTCCAATCACTGGGCCAGTCACCCCGCCTTCAAGAAACATCACACGGCTCCGGCGGATTGGGGTACTGTGGATATGGCGATGGGTGATGCTCCCGAACTGGGTTCAATCCTCGGAACTCTGAGAGTGTGTGGTTGTGTCCCGGAAATCTTCTTCCTCAACCGTTCCACACTTCCAACAAATCCAAGTGAATCCAAGTGTTTCCGGAAATCTTCTTCCTCAGCAACTCCTGAGAGTGGTGGACCATAGAGCTGGTGGACATGAGCTTCCTCAGCAAATCCCAGAGAGTCTCATCACTCGCCCCGCTCCCCTTGAGCGCCCGTGAGCGACGCTGGGGACGTTCCACCGACAGGTGAAGCACTTCGAGCTGAAGCCACCGGTGTGGGCCCTGGGTGAAGCATTCACTGAAGCATTGAAAGGCATCCAAAAGATGGGTTGGGTGGTGCTTCTTTTGGTTCTTCGGTGATGATTTGTCACCCAGCCACCCAATCATTACATAGCTCACGTGAACGGTTTTCTTCGTTCGCTTTCTAGGCCCAACTGGCCCAAGCACAAAGGCCCACAGCACCACCCAACACATCCCGCGAGCCTTCGGGATCCGTCGATCGGCTCAGGGTGCCAAGCCAGAGGTGGGCGAGGGCGGGTGAGGAGGGACCAAGGAGGGTATGGACAACGAACGTTAAGGGGAGCTTGGGGGGTGAAAAACAAAAAATAACCATAAAAGAAACATGTGGAACAAGGTGAACCCTTATGCTCCAGGGAAGCTGCTGAGAAAGACCTATTATAAGTAAGACCTCCTCCAAACGGCACATGTTCCTGGTTTTATGGCTTTGTCTATGTGCACTAGGTGTGGTACAGGCATGCATTGTGTATATATATATATATATATGTTCAGGATATATAGTTTGGGATCTCAACAGGACATGCAAGGTCCAGAGCCTGGAGAAGCATGTGTGGTTGAGAGACGTGACGTGTAGATACCATAATCTATATATAGACAATATAGCCTAGCAACAAGAGACAAGAAAAATCAAGAGTCAAGAGTTTGATTGGGTGTTTTGCCTCATGCTTCATGCCTTTATACCCTATAGTTTTACAAATGTTTCAAATCTACCTACCTTGGCTTTTTGCCTCACACGATCTCCGGCTGACTGGTGGGTGGGGGTCTTCGAAGGCCAAAGCGACCGGAAGCCTTGGTGCGGGGGCCCGGGCTTGCTGTGACTCGTCTGACTCCGCTTGGAGTCAATCAGCGGCTCAATTTGGGGGAGACGGTGTCTGAACCTTTTGATGATTTTCTCCCACACTGAACGAGTGTTTTTCAAGTGAGCTGAAACCAACAGTTTAGGCTGCTGTTATTTTATTCTGCGGCCTTCTTTGATGGTTGCCCTAGGCTTGATTCCAACAAGGGGCGAACTACCTCCAAGCTGCTAGGTCAGAAACCACCAGCCAGTCATGTCCCTAACGCTGCTCGGAATTCCATTTCAATGGAATTGTTTGAGACATGTGTTCAACAAGTTTTTCTTCATGACATGTCATGGAAATTCATGACATATGTTGAACACATGTCTCAACATCCAGACTTGTTGAACACAGGCCGTTGCCACGGCACGGGTTGAATTCCAGACTTGTTGAACAGACCTCCTTTGGGCCTTCACTCCTGTACACGACACGGGGGCCGAATCGAACGACAGGCTTGGCCTTTCAAGCCGTCTTGCCGGAAACGCCAGATGATGGGAAGGATGTGGAAGGGATGGATTCATTCCCTGAAATCATCTGAACATTGACACTTGACTTCCTCAGAAGGGCTCACTCTAAACCTGACTGGGTTTAGAGTTATACTTGACTTACTATTGGAGATGTCACAGGCATGTCGACATGTGTTTGATTGGTTTATACATGGTTTTTTTCAGTTGGCTTTGCGGTTGGTGTCATACTCCAGCATGGACTCCATCCCATTGTGCTTTTGCTTTGTGACAAGGGTAGCAGGAAGCAGTCACTCAGTAATTCGCCAGCAGACACACAGATAGAATCCGGTAGGCTTCCAATCAGTGCAGCCTGGGCGTTGAAAGTCCATCAAGGAAAAGGTAGGAAGGTTGAAACGAGTGAGTTAAGGAGATACATCATGTGGTACAACATGGACTGCGCAAAAGAACACACACAGAATACATATTTAGTGTAATCTATTTTAGCTGTTGCGGTGCTTTGTGGGATTATGATTCCGGCTCAAAATCGACTGCGCAGAAATCATCACCCATGGTTTTGCAATGCATTTTGATCTACCAACAGACGCAACAGAGGTTGAGGGACCCGAATGTTCGACTATCCCAGTTGGGATTCCCAGGTGACCGGTCCTATTTCCGGTCACTCAACCTCTCTTGGTACATCCGTTTGGTTTTAAAGACTTCCCTATAGGCAGGTACCTCCTTTTCGGATGGTCTTGGAGGTGAGTTCGTACTTCCTGAGAATGGTCTTCGGGGGTCAAAGGATATCCGATTCGGATTGTCCTGGACCCTTAGGGTTCCCTTTAAGGCTGCTGAGCTTCAGCTTTCGTCCCTGTGCAGCTTGGCTCTGAACGCCCCGCCACGGCAGTCACGGCAGCTTGGGCGCCATGGCGGAGGTGGATCAGTTGATCTTCAAGAAGACGGACCTTTGATTTGAGCTCCAGCATCTGGATTTTCCCCTTCCATGTTTGTCCTCCCCCAAACGCGAGCTACTGACAAACGCACCAGGCAAGTTGTTCTGGTATTTCTCAGAACTGAGTGCTTGGGTCATTTTTGTCCTCATCCCAAAGGTATGACGGATCGCCAGGTATTGCACCCCTTTCCGCCGGCGATGCTGTCCGGGTGGCGCCGCCCGGTCCCACCCGAAGCACCGACCGCGAGGGTCTCAAAGTGAGCACCAAACCCAATGGGAAGACGCTCGAATCCGCGAACGCTGACGAAGCTCCCGGTGGGTTTAGGAGGTTTAAAGTGGTTTAAGGGGGGGCATGAGTCCCTAGCTTCTTTGTAGATGTGGCTGTCATACAGAACTCGCCAACCCCATTGGCCAACATGCAAAAATATTCAACATGCACCCAGGATGGCAACAAGCGCGGCATCCCCGAGGCCGGCCCCAAGAGCATCCGGATGGAAACGGAGAAAGGACGAGGGGGGTTGACCAATGAATGGCTTCGGCCGGCTCCCACTGGTAGGACGCATAAAAGTTATGGGTTGCTATGCGTCACTGTTTTACATTTTGATCCGCATCCCATGGGTCCAAATAAAAACAAAACACATTTAGATTGAGCAATGAATCATTGTTTCTCTCCTGAGAAAACTGAAGCATGGATTCGATATAATTACTCAAGGTCTTTTGCTCGGCTGAGGCCAGGCTCGTGTCAAAAGTTGCGGCTGAAGTCCAAAATGTCCAAAGGCTGAACCTTTCTTTCAACAATCTACCAGCAGTCACAAAGGGGTGCCTATTGGAGGATAGGGGTGCCCATTATCCACTCACTTAGGTACTAAAAACCACCCCTTTGTGACTCCTGGTAGGCTAGGACAATCTACAAGAACCATTGAACTATTCAATCACCTAAGACCAGCCAAACATCAAGCCGCTGGTGTTTTTTCCTTTCAAGAAGAACCACTCAGAACCCGCGGCGACTACCGGGGGGGCAACGGGATCCCCGTTCAGCTTGGTGGGATCCCATCCTTAAAGGGACGTGGAATCCTCGGACACCAAAAGCTTCAGGAACGTGGGACCGAACTACCAGGACCCGACACCGTGGGGTGCCCTGTCTGGAAGCCTTTTTGGGTATACTGTGGGTTGTCCAGCCAGGACACCCCGACAGGAGGGTCCTGGGATAGAGACGTTTTTCTCTATACGACCAGCTTCTTCATTGAACTTGGCAGTCCCACCCACCACAGTCAGACTGGGGGAGCAGGTCACGAACTGAAGAAATAGATTCATGTACCTGGAACCTGAATGACCTTTGGGACCACCAACCACACAACATGGTGTCCCTTTCCTATCAATATAGGGGGCTTGGGCTCTAGGTATGAGAGACGATCCTCGCACCAACATCCCTTGAAGACTTGCAGACTTGAAGTAGGATGAGCCTTTCGTCCAAAGCTCAGTCCCAAACTCAAGAGCCAGGCGATCTTCATCGAGAATGTGGAGGAGATGTGCAGCTTTCATGCAGATGTGTGCTGGTTCCGAGGATGTTCTTGGTTTACATGCAATTGTCCTGGACTTCTACGTAAGGGTGCTACTCATGCATTCATTTCTCCAGCAAAAGTCCACACAAGAAAGGGGCCGGAAAATTCATGTATAGAAGATTGGCCTACAGTAGGGCTGACACGATCAATCCCGATATGGGATTGAAGTTCAAGGGCCGTCGTCATTTGGGTGCTTGATGTCCAGTCGGACTGGTGCCATGGACAAGTATATGGGATTGAAGTTCAAGGGCCCAAGGCATTTTTGGTGGTTGATGTCCAGTCAGACATGCCTTGGGGAAATCGACACTGAGGTAAAGATCGTGAGCCTACCGAAGTGGTTGGACGGCTCCAGGATTTACACAGTACCTTGGCGCAGCAAGACACTCCGACAGCGGCTGCTGTGCGACTTCTTCAGCAGCATCTGGGTGGGACCGGTGACTCGGGTGACTGGTGTGAAGAAGCTTATACTGTATGTCCCAAACACTCCATGGGACTGCCATATATGCCGCCCCATTGACCCCTCAAACCACCCCAACTGATCGGCAGTCCTATGGCAGTCCCATGGTGTGTCTGGGTGTGGTCAAAGGGGAAGGCTGAATCCGGTCGAGAGATTCCAACTCCTGTAGGGAGTTCCCCAGCCAAAACGACCTGTGGATTCTTCCACTCTGTTCTTTTAATGTGCAGGAGTTTCTACTTGGCCTGGTCCAAAATTTTAAGGGGCTTTGTCTTATAGTCCATGATCAAAGAATGATTTGAGACCATTCTCAGGAAGTACGAACTCACCTCCAAGACCATCCGAAAAGGAGGTACCTGGACCCTATGGGTTGGTTGTCGTGCCACGGTGGTCCCACAGCCACGGTGTTCCGCAGTCTTCGTCACGATTCGTACAACGCGATTCGCTGCGAGCCGCTGCAGGGGCTCGATTGGCTGCAGGGTTTGATCTGCGGTTCTCGGTCGAGGTGTCACGTCTCACGGCCGCAGCCACTTGGTCCAAGAGCCACTCGAACCCGCGAGCTTCGAACTCCGCGAACACCGCGAAGCCCCCTGGGGCCACCTTTGGGCCGTGCTCCTAGTGCCCTGCAGGTCATTTGGAGGTTAGTCCGGCGTGGGAAGAACCTGCCTGCCACCGGCAACTGAGTAACTGGTGGGATGCTTCGAATCCTCATGGCCGGGGGTGAAATGCTCTCGCTGAGCTTCTCGGAGACGGACACGGCCCTGGTATTGAAGCAGAAGATTCGAGAGCTGGAGACAGCTCCAGAGGCGCAACCGAGGTCTCAAGGGTCCAACAAGAAGAGATAAGAAGAGAACCAGTTGGGATGGGGCTGGAATTCTTATTTTCAGACTCATCAACTCTTTGTTCCTGGACCATGACCCTTTTTCAACCTGGATGGTTCCCTTGTAGTTGAGCTCAATGCCTTTTCAATGGACTTGTGGTGCACTTTTTGCAACGCAGGTGCTTCCTTTCTCGAATGGTTTCTCAGCCAGTGAGGCCACCATTTTTGATGTTCCTTTGGAAACGAACCACGTGGAAGTGGAGTTCAACCCCATATGTATTTGTAGAGGAACCAAACTAAGCGCCAGAGTCCATGTTCTACTTCCGATGTTAGTTCCAGCCAGGGTACATGTTCGGAGGAACATGCAATTTCCAGAGACCATGTTCCACTTCCATGTTAGCTCCAGGAATGAGATTGATATTCACGAGTATATATCACAAAAACACGAAAACAGTTCATATGGCTGCTGTTTGGCAAGATGAGAGGCACTGGCGCGGCCCTGTTCGTTGATGCGGCTGATCCATGGCGCTGATGTCTTGCCAGATGACTCCGTCAGTGGTCAATCAACCTTTTTGCACTGTTTTTTAAATGCACTGCTTAGTTTGATTTGATACACTTCTCTTCTCCTCTGGAGGCACATAAATAGCAAGTAGCGCAGGGTAGTCCATTGGCACGCACCCGGGCCCCCGTCCCAGCTGCGAAAGGAAGGTACGACTGGAGCCCTGGGGTTTCTTTTTTGCTATTCACTGCTTAGTTTGATGGAGCTGGGACCAGGAATCAATAAACATCTGATCTTGAGCGTGTTGCTTCCAAAGAATATATCTTAGACAGCTGGAAGTATATACTGCATACTAACTGTAGATATTTTGGGGCAGGCCTCTCAGACATATAACTAACTATATACACCAGGAGTCACAAAGGGGTGGTTTTTAGTACCTAAGTGAGTGGATAATGGGCACCCCTATCCTCCAATAGGCACCCCTTTGTGACTGCTGGTACTGTGAAATAGCTTGGGCCCCCACAGTGAAGAGGTGTCAGGGGTTTGCAATAGGTTCTTGGCACTTGTGCTTCTTCACCAGTGAAACCGGTGGACTGTCTTCACAGTCGGGTGAAACCTTCACTTGGGCTGTTTGGGTTTGATGGCTAAGAGCCCCCAGCAGGGAGATTAGTACATGTTTTGGGCTTTGCAGCTCTGTGCAAACGCAAGGTTCATTTAGAGTCCGGATTCAAGGTTGCCCAAGCAAGTTAAATACAATACAAACAATTCCATCCCAGTAGTTCCAAAGGGGTGCCGAACTTGGAGGATATGGGTGCCCCTTTGTGACTCGTGGTATGTAGATTCTGGTTCATATATATGGTAGGCCCTTACGGTCCAGGTACCTCCTGAGGATGTCCTTTGGCCCCCAAAGATCCTATCCGAAGTAAAGTAAGATAAGTAAGGAGGTACCCGGACCCATAGGGTGGGAATGCAGATCCACTCAGTGAGTTCACTCCTGGAACCTGGGCCACGATCGGTGTAAGGATTGGATTCTGCATGATCACGGCATCGTGGATGGAGATGAGCTCACCTTGGTTCTGTCGCGAGGCCCTTGTGGCTATTATGAGGAGGAGCCAGAACTCCCTGGCCGAAAAAAGCGGCGTTCTTTCTTTTGTTCTTTTTTGCTTTTGGATTGGATGAAGCCAGGGCATTGCAAGCACCCAGTTGGTCATATAGGGCAATGCCCTTTGGCTGCTACAGTTTGGACACTTGAGTAGACGTTTTGGGACACACAGACTGCAGAAGAAACGTCGACACCAGCGCAAGTCCAGTGTTCTACCAAAAACGGAACTCTTCCAAGCCTGGTTTTGCTTATCTAGGGTGTTTTGGACTTCCCCATGGTCTACATCCCCCCAAAGACCGGGGAACAAAAAAAACGGCATCCTCCGAGTGGCGTTCGTCGTGTCTCGCCCTCATCGTCCGGAGGATCTCGAGGAGTATGAGGGATGCATGGAGATCCGCACGATGGTCTCCGCCCGTTTCCGCGAGGAAACCTTCCAGATCGAGGTGCCGCCGATGTGCCGTTTCGCCCGTCTGCGAGAGTCAACGGAAGGTGGGTGGAAGGAGGCCACCCTCCAACAAACAGGCCAATTGGACGATCCCCCCCGTGTTGGTGAAGGAAAAGTGGGTCGGAGATCACGGTCGAAATCGAGGGGCCATGCCGTGAACCGGTGGTTCCCCTCCATGATGGTTTTCAGGGAGGGTCATTTTTTCGGTAGTATAGTATTCTGAATCATTTTCAAGGAGGTTTTACAAGGTTTTGCCATTTATGTCTCGGGGAGAGGATGGATGTTTTCCAGATCCTACCTGTTTTGGGTGCCCAAGCTGCTCGGGCCACTGGGAGTATGTGGGACCAGACCATCGGGCCACGGCGATCTGCAGCAGCTCCAAAGGCCCATCGTTAACGCGTCAATCATGCCGCCCAAGAAACAAAGCGGGGTGGGGTGGGCCTTTGGGGTTTGTTAGATGGTCCTGTCATGCATCTCTCAAAACCCTTACAAGGCATGTGCCCTTCTTAAATAGAATGGCGGGTATTGGAGCCAGCGCAGCGAGCCAGCCTTCAAGGTGTGTGAGCAGGTGGAGTATGGCTCCCCCTGGAGGTGCTATTCCTGGAAGGGCTCGGTGGAACTCACCGAAGGACTCAGAGGGACAAGGACTAGAAAACAATGTAAGCCGTGTCCTCTCTCCAAGTCTAGACTTTTTATATGACATGTTTAGCCAATTGATCTTTCTAAACCTTTGACCAGGGATGATCAATCCATATCAATCCCACTGACAGAAGGATGAGAAAACCTCCAGAAACAATTGCAGAGCCTTTTTTCAGGTAAGAACGTGGCCATCCATGTGAATATCACGCAGAGTTGGAGGGTTTGACATGATCAGCACGGAAGTTTTAAAGGACTGAATATATGGAATGTTCACCACTCTTGTACTTTACTTGCATTGGCCCCCCAGTGCCCCCTGTTGAACCCCAAGATGTGCAAACATGTCAAACTGCAAACTGCTGGACCGGGAGACACCAAGACTTCAGCCAATGCCGTCTTTAAGAAGTGTTTAATCATAGCCCCTCACAGAGAGGGGGCCGTGAAGGAAGGTCCATCGCCACCACCCCTGACCTCCGAGGGCCTCCAAGGGCCCTGGAGCTTCCCACCTTTCAGTGCCTCTTTGTGTCTTGGAGGAGATGGCTTCCAGATGTCAGTCCTTGGGAGGACCGAAGATGGACCAGAGCGTCGCTTGACCTAAGACCGGTGCCATGTTTGGAAGGTTCTGAATTATGGGGTCCTAATGCATATCCAAACGGTGAGGCTTGATGATGCTTCACGCAAAACATGGCTGAATCATGAATTTCTTGGATGGAGCCATGGACTTTGAATGATGTTGGTTTCCTTGTGACGCTAACTTGTAGCCGAACAGGTTGGGGAAACCAGCCAACATGCTAAACAGGTCCGAGACACTAGGGCCCTGTGCCACATGTCAAGGCATCCCTCCAAGTGATGAGCATTTTTTCTTTGGCAAGTCAAGTGCTGGTAGAGCTTTGTGAAGCTTCACCCACCCGGTCACCCGCCTCAAATCACATGAGCTTTTCGGCTTTTCGCCTCTCGTCCTCTCGCTTCCACCCTCTCAGATACCGTGAGAGACCTGGAGCCCAAGATATTTCTTGGAGAGATGTGCGAGTCGAATCTACTGAAAGTTCAGCTGACTTTATATGGCGTGACTGGCGTTGGTCACTTGCGTTGGCTGAATCTGGTCGAGACTCCATGCGCTCTTCGCGATGGCGATGGCGAGAGCGATGGCGAGAGCGAAGCGTGACATCCGCGTGACCGCGAACAAAACGGACACAAAGGAGAAGCAGCAGGAGTGTTCTGAGGTCCTCCCACACTCAGCGTTTAGTGCTTGAAAGCAAGTAGCTGCATTATGCTTAGTGTTCCCACTTGGGCCTTTAGTGAAGGCAAAAAACAAGATACTGTAGTGCAGACTAAAACTCAGATTTGTTTGCTCCAGGCTTCTCTTCAGGGTGTTTCATTGATGTTCAAGTGGATGTTTCATGGTTTGCGACCTTGAGTCGCTTTGGGCAAAGAAGCCATTCGACCCTCCATTGGTCAAACTGATTGGTGGAGGGTCGGCTGAGAAGGCAAGAAAGAACGTCAGATTTGTGGCCCACCTTCAGAAGGGTGGATCCGTGGATGGTGTAGTATGGTGTGAGTTTTTTCAGGTGCATATGGAGGCCCCAAATACAGATAGAAACATAGATCACCACTTAACATGTAGAAACCCTGCCACTATCTATTTGGGGACCACTATCAGTCTTGTGTGCTTGTGTGTGTGTTATTTTTGTTCGGGGGAGGTAGGGCCTAGTGGGGCAGGTCTGAAGGGTTCCATGGTTGGGCAGACCAAAGGATTGAACGGTGATATGTGCTTGTCTGACTGGTGCGACTCGCAGGGAATGAGGGTGGCTGGATCCAATACAATCTCTATTGGGGGCTCATTCCCTTATTCCCTACTAAGCACCAGTCAGTTGTTGACCGATGATCCTGTTATACGTGGTGTATGATGCTCCATTGGCGACCCTGTAAAGTCCACTGGCGACCCTGTAAAGTCCTTAGTACAACAAGGGTTGTTGGGTGAAGGCCGTCAATCATGGTGGTTGGAAGCCTATATGGGGCACCCCTTCCTTCGTTTTCCGAAGGCCGTGGCCCTCGCGCATTTGCGCGTGAGGCAAGTACCAATACATGCAGAGCTCCTTGACCGCTCAGCGCTCCTCGCTGAAGACCAAGCTGCCTGACATCGTCTCAGCATTAGAAGTGGTGAAACACCTGGCCTCTCGGCCACGAAGAGAAAACGCCAAGATTCAGCGACTCTGTGTGCTGGAGGGTTAATTATACAACTACAATCTGTGACATCCATGATGGAAGGCTTACCCGTCTATGAATCATATAGGTGGACATTAATGTAGAAGTTTGATGATATTTCAATCCCCCATATGTAGAGGTTGTTTTCCATCCATGACCGGGCGGCCATGATGGGTAGGGCGCGCGCACGTTTTTCGTTGATGTTTGCTATGCACTAGGTCACTAGGCTATGGTGATGCAGGAGTTGCATATAATATAGAGCTCTAGTTGATATATATATATATATAGAGGCAGTGCAGCCGGCTGTGTGCTTTCAACAGAGCTGCTGATTGGTGGGTCAGGTATGGCAGAGCTGATTCTACGGTTTAAACAAACCCATATAAACCACCTCTTGGGGTCTGTGCCATCTACTCTGAAACTACTATAAAGCAGATGTTGAATGGAAAAAGCGCGAATTGCATTGTGGGGCGGACGGGGTGGACGAACGTGCTTGATAAACTCCTGGGTGTTTCCCCCCTTTTTTTGCTCGAGACCTTGGAATCCCTTCCCCTGCACGACCCTCAGATGTGGAATCCCTTCCCCTGCACGACCCTCAGATGGAGAGAAGCGAGGAGGCAGAGGCCAGTGAGTACACTTACCAGCGCCTTGGCAGACACATGGTGGACCAAAGGCCACCATTGTCCGACTTACCCACGTTAGCTTTCGTTTCACGTCAATCCCTGTTCAGATCTGTCCAGGTTTCTTTAGCAACCACCAGCACTTATCAGCCGAGCGAGTCAGCACGTATCAGCCGAGTCGACCCGTTGGTACCCCGAAAAAGGGGGGGTACAAGCACCTGTGTATTCCTGGGTCATGTCCCAGGGTTCCAGGGTTCCAAGGTACTGGAGGGAGTCTAGGTACCCCCTGATGGTCCTGCAAGCTGGATTCACCAACATGACGAACCCACCAGATGAGACCCATCTCACTCACCTAGCTGGCAGCCTCCGCAAGGCTGGCGGAGAACATCTGGTCGAAAGCATCAGCTGCTCCCAGTGACAAGGTGTGTTTGTGGCTAGGCCAGGGGGCCCGGGCAGCCGCACGAGCCGTGAACTTTCGACCCATGAATTGGCCATTCTTTGTCAAGCCTTTGAAGAGTTATCGTCAAGTATGAATTCCCTATGGATCCACTGCCTCCTTCTTCAGGTACGGTGAGGACGGAGACTATTGATGTAGGTGCCAGGGGGGCCCAATTACCGTACCTGAGAAGATGGCAGTGGATCCATAGGGAATTAACGTGCTTGGGGTCATCGGTCATGAAGAAACAGCCCTTGGTCTTGCAGCTTCACGCCAATGGCTTGCAGTTGGGGGTCGCGCAGCGCAGGCGCGAATTGCATGTTGGAGTACCAGCTGGAGGAGGCCATTGAACTCCTCCAAACCAACGAAAGCAATGCACGAACCACCTTGATGCTTGGCAGTTGAGGGATCTTCCAAGTGAACTAAACACCGTGGAGGGCTATCTTCGGACAGCGGAAACCGCTTCGGGCGTGTTTTGCTGCACCTCGGCAGTTGGGACTTCCAAACCCCACCTACCTCACTGACCTCAACGCCCTCTGCTGCGATTTTGGAAGCAAAACTATCCCAAATACTCCATGAGACTGGAATATATGCCTAGATTGACCCTCTGAAACCATCAGAGCTGAAAGCCATTAGTCATGCAGAGATGCGTTCCCCCTTTTGTATGTGTGGATGTGTGAATTGGATGGTGATCCAACGATGGTACTCTAGATCCTTAGCAAGTCAAGTACTTGCTTTTGCAATATTTTGCCGACGCCCATTTCAGGAAAAGCTTGGAAGAGGACATGGCCTTTTTGAGAGATCAGCCACTTGCCGTGCAGCTTGAGAGTCCTGTAAGGGTGGCTCCGGATGCGACGACTTGGGGACGAGAGGACTATCTCCGAAGTGGTGAAACAAGCAGTCAAAGGGGCGAGCTGCGGAGGAAGTAGTGGTGGAACAAGCAGTCAAAGGGTCGAGCTGCTGTTCTTGTGCCTACGTTGTCTTGTTTTTTTTTTCTCATCAAGGCTGTAAGGAGCGCAGACAAATCGACCATTCTCCAAAGAGATCCTCAACAATAAGGCATGGAACATGATAGTGAACTGATTGAAGATCGCGGTCCTCGAGTATATATGGGATTCTAGCGTCACCTAACCTGAGAAGGCATCTATAGATCACCTCACCGGGACTATTTCGAGAAACAAGCGGAGACGAGACGAACCCTTCTTCCCATCGACCTGGTGCGGTTGGACCATCAACCAGGCTCACCCGGGACTGCGCTCATCGCTCGCCACGCTCAACCGTTTGTTGGGGGGTTGTCGTCCATGAACCGCCCAACTCCTCCCCTTGGAATCCCTGGATCCTGGGGTCGCTGGACGGATGACCTGCTTGGGTCGTTTCTGTTGATCTAAAAGGATCCTTCTTGCTCTCAGGGCAAGAACCTCCCGCGGTTTGATGTTTAATTGGTTTCTTTGTTTTTTTCCCGGCTTGTTGACCTTCTTATAAACACATGCTCAGTATTAAGGACTTCCTGTAAACTTTTGGGAAGTTATATGAAGCACGTGATGAACAGCCTTGAGGCCCAGACTCTTTGGGTTTTCACTGACGGAGGATCACCACGACTGAAGTGAACATTGCGCGCACCCACAACTATGGGGTGAAGTTGCGACAGGCCACCAAGGCGCTGGCGGGTTGGTAGATGATTGGAGGTCGTGGTTTTGATTACTTGAGGTCATGGTTCTGGTGCCAGAGAGAGGTTGAGTAAATACCAGGACCACGGAAGGGGTGGTGGTTGGATGGAAAATACATAGTCAGGGGTGTCCATAAACCACCCCTGCCAGGACCGGTATGTGTTTGTTGTCCGCTGTTTCCTCGCCCTGGTGGGGTGTTTGCGTTGGGTGTTTGACCATACGGAGGAGTGATATAGGCTTCACATCGGGCCTTCAAGGGGATTCGAGGCAGGAAACGTTCGCCTGGATAGGTGATGCGCAGATCCTTTATATACTCAAAGTCATCGGGTATGTATGGCATGTCCAAAATCACAAGTGGCCGGAAATCCATGCAATGGCTTTTTTTCAATCTTAGTGATCACTTGGAGTTGCATAAAGCCCTTCGGCCTTTGAGTTTAAAGGGGCAAGGTCCCATGTCTCCGGGATGTGCTTAAGAACAGCAAATCGAAAAGGAGAACGTGTTTGGAGGAACGGCGAAAGTATACGTGCTCCATTTGAGCTTGCCCACCTACCCAGACCAACGCCACGCAGTTCCCCTTTGAAAGGCCAAAGAGGGCAAAGAGGGCGGCTACAAGTCCTGAAGGGGGACGAGGCCGAAATGGGCGGGGTGCGCCACACGTTTTTCGTCATTGACAAAAAAACATGTTGTTTCAGTGTTTGTGTGTGTTTTTAATCTTTGAGGTGGCTTGGTGTTTTCATTCAGAAAGCACCAATAGGTACCATTAACATAATGAGAGGTCACTGCAGCTAAGCTGTTGGCTGTTGGAGATGATTCTTGCAATTCTGACCGGCGACGCGGCTGTCCAGCGCGGCTGTCCAGGGAGGACCAGATGGAGAGGAAAAAAACGCACATCATCAGTTCCAGTACCAGAGTGGCTTTGAGTTCTTTGCCCCTAAGGCCCCAAGTCAGTGGATCAATGTGGATGTTTTGACACCGCAGTCGTCAGTTGTTCTTCTGTGTGCACCCCATCCCATCCCAGCCCCTCCCAGTTCGGCATTCCACTCCATGGAACTGCTGGCATGCTCACCTCTTTTCACCCTTCCGCTTGGGCCCCTCAGGTGTCGCAGACGGCCTTCCGAACGAAGGTTGGCAGGGAGAAAAGAGAGCGCGAGCCGAGCTATGCCAAAGCCGGAGCTTTCGATCAGCGATTCATTGAGAACGCAGCTTCAAAAACTAAAGCCAGGAAGCTGGCACTTTCAATCAAATTGGCTTGCTGTTGTGTCTTATTGTGTTTTTCAACTAAGCGGGTAGTTTCAATCCAATAGCTGGGTCTTGTGGCGGTGCCTTTTTGTGTCAAAGACTTTGGCGGCGGCGTGCGAAAGACTTGTGCCAACTAAGGCCCTCACGAAAGCAGCTGAGGTGTTTTGTGGAAGGTGTGGAAGTGGGCAATCGGGGCAATTTTGAGCCAATAGAACTTATATGACTTCAAGAACCGATCAAAATAGGACATACACTTAGCCACCTAGCGCTTCAAGGGGCGTGCCAATGGAGACCAGTGTAGGGCAGTCCATTGGGTACCCCTTGGAAGCAGCTTGTAGTTGGTTTGCTATGCATGTGAAGGTCCTATTAGGTCCTACACATGTCTTTCTTTGGGAGATGCAGCCCTGACGACAAATTGCTGCTCCAGAGTCCATCCCACTGGCGTTGGATTATGGGAAAGGGCACAACTCCCCCATGATGAGTGGCCTAGATTCGTTTGGATTGACATGTTTTTTTTGTTTCCAGCTTTTGTAAGGGCTTTTTTGAACCTGCGCAGGGTTGCTTTGTTCTGGGCTTTACTTTGATCGCGGATGCGATTGTTGCCTATTTGCTACAGCAATGATCAGAGAGCCAAATGAGGCCAAGTGACTACGCCAATTTATGCCTTGCAGCATGTTCAAGTACATGCACAAGCGGCATAAGCGATCAGATTTGGTACAACCGGTATGATTTTCATTTTTATTTCAGGGAGTGTATCGCCTTAAAAGGCTCAGGTCTTTCAGAAAGTGCTTCGAAAAGCAACGCCATCACGAGATTTCAAGCACCATCCGGCTTCAGGCTGTGCCCAGGTGAAGTATGAAGGCCAGGTCAGTGGAAAAAGCCGACCGTTGGGAATGCAAACGGTGTATGAACAAGGTGAAGAACGATGTTGAAGGACTCATGTGGGTCAAGTTGATGATCTTGGTTTGAAATCTGGACTCCACATGACTTCACTAATTAAGTGTTCAAATTATTTGGATTTTGGATCCCCTAAAATGCTTTAGTTTATCCAGACCTCTTTGAGTGATTTTCCATCAATGCTCTCGCCAACTCAGTACAGGTGGATACAGGTGGCCTGTGTTTGTTTGTTCGCATGATGGAGATGGTCAGTTCAAGCAGAGGAGCCATTCAAGAGCTTGCTTCGTGTGAGCATGGTACCATGGAAAGCCATGGGAAGTACATTCCCCTGGGCGGAGCTGTTCTGTTGATTTCACAAGTTGCACTTCTTGTCTCACCCAGGGAAGGATTCGCCAAGCAGCTTTGATGTCGACGGGAACAAGCATATTGGACTTCCAAGCTGCGTGTGCATTTTTCTTTGCCAACCCACATTCAAGTCGCTTCATTCGGGTATGGATCCATGTGATCTACACCCTTTTGAAACCGCAGGTGACATCAAGAACAATCTTCAAGTGCGAATGCAAATGGTTGAGGGCGACCCCATGGTGCTCCTTGACGTGTGGAATGAGAGTGTGCCGATTGCTTTTTTTGGGGATATGGCACGATATAGGATTCACTTGAGATGCTTAGCCAGGTGACTTAGCCAGGTGACACCTATTCTTGTTTTCTCCGGCCCAATTGGGTTTGGGATCAGCTTGGGGATGTGCTTTCCTGAGCGGGTGTGGAGGAGTCTCATCCCAGGCAGCTTTTGTGCAAAGGACCTGCTTGGGACCTCAAAAAACCCATGCACTGCATGGTTTTTTGTTCTATTCAACCAATCAAGAAACAAGAACAAGGCCGCAAATTCCTTTGGACATTTGGTAGTAGAGTTACTGTAGTTGATATAGAACATGCCATTCTTCACTACAAGCAGGTTGGTGGTGGCGAAGTGTTTTTCTTCCCACCTGGACCTGCTTGACACTCCCGAGGTCCTGCGAAGCCGTACGCACTACCTGGAAGACCAGCACCACCAAGCCGGTAGCAAGCCCCAGCTGAGCTGCGGTGGGTTGCATGGGATCACGTGTTGACCTTTTTGTGTGCTCAACGCCTTTCGGAGATGAACTTGGGCAGTAATGAGTGAGAGTATGAGTGAGTACTGAGTAAAGAGCAGTCAAAAGTAGCAGTCAAAAGTACTGTAAAGCACAACATGTGGTCTCTCTTTGGTAGCTCGTCATTTGGTTGACATGTGATTTATCAAAAAGAAGATCCATTGAAGTCCTTCTCCATTCTTTGGAAACTGAGTGCCGCATGATTTTCCTCTATATAGCGTGAATGCTGCATGTTAGTTTCCCCCCCTCGATGGGTGTCATGTGGTGCCCCACAAACCGGAACTTCGAACCTCTCCATGCCCGCCTTGCACGGACGCATGCGCCCATGCGACGTGGGGAGGTTTGGAAGCAGAAGTGCAGCTTGAAGGTGCCCGAGGAGTTCGGAGCACTCTGCGATGGGAGGGTGGAGCTGCGGTCGGGAGCGGTCGGGAGGTCGGAAAGAGGAAGTCTTTTTTTGAAGAATAGCTCCGGGGGACGGTGTGAAGTCGTTTCGAGATATATTTTGTGTTTAAGGGTGGTAACCAGCTCCCAAGCAAAGATCTAGTTTGGGCGCAGCTGTTTATCAACTAATACCATGTGCATGTGCATGTCACCTTCAAGAACAGATCCCCCTCCGCTTCTTGCCCACACCCGCCGCGTCGCGCTTGCCCACCCCGCACGATCTTTAAGGTTGGTGCTCTCTGGTCGAACACTGGCCGTGCGCAAGGGCTGGGTCCACGAGCACCGGTGCCACGCCCTTCCCAGACGCCTGCGCAGGGGGTGGATGGAAGAGGAGTCAGTCAAGGAGTTGTTGCTTTGGTGGAATTCATCGCTTGATTTGGTTTTTAATTGTTCCCTCGTGGAGGCGTTGTTAAAATCTTTTACGTTTTGGAGGGTAGCGTCTATCACTATCAAACATGGTCAGTGAACACCGTTTTCTGGAAGAACGTTGTGGTATAGGGGCATGCTTGGAAGGCCACGCATTAGTGCAGACTTGAGCGATCCACTGTTCTACTCTTGGTAGCAGTCACTCAAACGGAAGCGGAACCCCCTGTATAGGCCTGTAGAGGAAACTCAAACTCCTTTTCCCAGTTGGGGTTGGGCCAAATTGAAGTGTGCCACCCAGCGATGGGGCCACCCCAAAACTTCCTTTTGCCCCCCTTTGATGAATTCGCCGCCGACACCCGGTTGCTCCGCGCTGCTTGGCTCCGTAGCCCGCCGGTAAGTAGGAAAACGCGCACTTGCCCGGGTGGGGTGCGCTTCTTGAACAGCCGCCGACCCCTTCGCAGGTGGGTCGAGCCGGGAAGGAGGGTGAAGGGCGGATGCCGCAGACTGACACGGGCCGGCCAAAAGTAATGTGGTTTGTGGCAGAGTTGGGGAAGACATGGGACGACGGATCGGAGCCGGGGTGAAGCACTCAGTGAAGCAAGTAAGCTTGCAATGATGGTACTGGACACGCTGAAGCATTGCAAGTTCTCTCCAAACCTACATAATAAGAGTGTTTGCAAGCACCTTTTCAGACGGTATATGTGACATCGATCCATATCATACAGGGTCTATCCATAAAATGTATTTATAGGGTTTTACTTAGGGGTGTCCATATGTACTGTGGAAAGCTGCTAGGATGTTCTTGCGCCTCATGAGGTGGCGCCCTACGCTCATTGTAGTATATGGTAGTGCATTCCAGTTCCTGACACACACAAAACCGTCTTACTTCTAGCCTTTGCAGCGTGGCCACCCCTGACTCCGGCCCGGTTCGCGGTGACTGACTTCACTTCAGGCGGCCCGTGATGGTGACTTCACCACGTTCGCCCAGCAAGCACTTGCTCTCGCCCAAGAACACGCTCGGGCACCTGAGGCTCTCATCCCACGGTCTGACGCTCCGTGAGGCTCAGCCCAACTGGCCTCCCAGACGCGGGTACGACAGGGATTGGTTCGACCCCTGAACCCTGCATATATGAGTAGGTTTCACAACCTCTAAAACCACTCACATGAAGTTGAAGGGATGGTGGTTTTCCGTGTGACCAGTGGTGGGACTGGTCGTCCAGTCGCAGAAACGACCCGGGCACGACCGAGCCTGTTCAGCAAGCGAACAGGGCATTCAGATCCCATTTTGGACCAACATGTTGGGCAAACCTTTGTTACCTTGTTGGTAAGCTCTAACGCCTTGTCATAGAAGTTTTCCACTCCTGTTCAAGTATGTTCAAGTCCCACCGTTTTACACACAAATGCACCAACTGACGAACTCGCGCATCCGAGGCGTATTCCGGATGAGGCACTCTACCTGGCCTTGCAACAGCTGCTTGTCTTGGCGGTTCGGGAGATTGTACCCCCCATGGGGCCGATTGAGCATGTTTCACTTGGTCCAGGATGGTGCTTTACACCTGCCAAGTGTCCGCCATGGTGGTGGAATTCATGGAAAGCTTGAGCGTCCGGGATAACAGATGAGCAGTAAGGACCTCATTCTTGCTGACAGATGTTGACCTTACTAGGAAGTGGGAAAGATTCGGAAAGTGCTGCAGTGTAAGCATGTACTCGTACGATTTTTCTCCATACTTGTGGAAGTGGTGTTCCTTATCGGTTGAAGTCAGGGTCTGCTCAACCGAGAGGATGATGTTTCTGAACTACCGTTTCAATTAACATTGGTGGTATCGACAGTTCTTGGACCCTTATCCCGTTGAACCACCTACCCATCCCACATGCATGCCACGATGGACCAATGGGCCCACCAGAACTGCATGCTGTATAGGCATACGTAGAGCCTGGGGCACCGCAGAATTTCAAGGCTTTGGGTTTCACAAATCACCGACCATCCAGTTGGCATTCCTGAAAAAGAAAAGAGCCACACTTGCGAGCAGGTCTTTTTGGGGAGGCTTTCGTGCACTTTGTTGGTTGCTATGATTCCTGCACTGGAGGTTCCTGGACAATTGGCACTTCATCATCATGAAGTCCTCCTTGGGAAAGACCATGGACCGACGAGAGGCGCAATGTCAAAATCTTGCATTGCTTTTCTTTTTCAGCGTAAATTGCCAGGCCAGAGGCTTACTACTTGTGATAGAAACCACGGATTCCTCATGTTGGATTCGATGTTTCTTTTGACGTTTTAAGTGCAACTGAAGGAGCGGGTGGAAACCAGATCCCGCCATATCCCAGTCGGCTTTTACTACCGCACGGCTTAAGGAAATCAATTGACTGGGCTATATAATCATATTGGCTACTAGCGGTAGGGTTAGCTAATCGCCCCTGCTATCGGGTTGAACTTCTGCCCCGGTGGATGGCTTGAGCCCTGGTGGATGGCTTGAGCCCTGACTGTATTGGGTAGAATGTCCTTCGAATTCATGCGACTGCTTGAGACACCGCGAGCCCTTCGCTTCACCGGGGTGGACAGCATTCTGAGCTGAGCATGTTGTCAGCTTCCACCGGGAGAGAGCGCTCTTCGCTTCGTCATGGCCGCCATGTGTTTGAAGCCGTTTGGCTGGAGCCGATGACCCGAGAGGATCAACATGGTGAAGTGGTCGCGTGAGGTCGAACAAGCCCGATCAACTGACAAGTGGATCGCTTGCCAAAAAACCGGTGGAATTCATTCCCCACTCAAAAGTCAACAGGTGGAAGAAGGTTCACATAGGGGAAACCATCATTTTCCAGGAAAGCTGATAGGTGTGTGTGTTCTTTTTTTTAAGCTTTACATGGTCTTTTCCATGAGTTGAGCCGCAGCTTGATAGCTGTCATTTCAACACACTGTTTCCGATACAGGTGTGTGACTTGGTTTCGTCTAAGGGACTGGGACCGGACAAGCAACCAAGACAAGACTACCAACAAGACTGCTTCAACTGGCAGTGGTCTTTCACAGTGCGCTAGGAAAGTACAGTTTATGTAACGGAGTTGACTCCCTTGAGGCATTGCAGTCAAAAAAAGGACAGTACAGTTCAACGGACAAGACTTTTCTATACTTTTCTGCTTTAGGAAAACATCCTTCAACAAGCACACACCTGGTCCCACATAGCCAGCGACACGCACTCAATCTCACTCATAATCGTCCTGTCGCCATCGATCTTCAACATGTTAGTTTGGACAGTTTTTGTTTGTGCTTTCTTTGGGTGTGTTCAAAGGCAATGTGTCGAAGAATGGACTACACCACGGTCACTCACAGTAGAATCCGAGGTTTGGTATGTGATTGGTCCCTTCAGAGGGCTGTCGATGTTGATTTGCTCAGCTATTAGCCCCTCAATCCCTTTACTTGATGCCCCTTCCAGTCAGATCAGGGTTGCGTGGAGTTCTTGCATGCACTCCCTTTGCAAATCCCATAATCCCATGTCAGCCGAAGCTGCTTTGCCCCGCGGGCACATCACCTTCCGCCTCATGAGAGCCTCGCGCTGCTTGCACCTCTTCGCAGCACTGCTGGCGATGCTCGAAGTGCACATGAGCCTGGCTTTAGGCCTTTGGGAATTGGAAAAGGTTTACAGTGTTGAAGGTGTTGGACGCCTTGTGGTGGAATAGCACCGTTGTTTATCACAAGGGGGTTATATAGATGCGTTTCTTGTTAAAATCTAAGCTGTTCGGAATGTGAGTGAGGAAGCCTTTAACAGCTTGAAACGTCTTGAAACCAGTTGGGACTGGTAAGTTGGACTTTTGGTGTCAAGCTTTTCTGCATATGTTTGTGTTTAGGAGCCGGTCCTTGCCACCCTTGGGTTGATGATACCTCCAGGGCTGTAGTCCTGGAGATCCCAGTTTCAGGTCAATGAACAGACCTCAGCAGTCCCTTTTGTTTAAGTTTCTTACTAGACCACCTAAACCACTAAAGGATACTAAATACAAGCACTCACAAGAACCGCAAGGGCGTTGCAAATGGTAGAGTATCCTCTACTAGTGCACGGGACACTCCATGAACCGTGTTTGGGCGTTCAGTGCCAACCTGGGGCTTGCAGCCAGGGATAGCCATGTATATAAGTGGGACGCGGGGGATGTGGGCCTATTCGATGACCTGTGGAATTCAATATCATCAACCATGCACTTGAGCTTTGCTTGGTCCTTCGCCTATGCTGCTTCTGGGCCTCGCTATGAGGATTCTTTCCTGTCGCTGGGGGCACCTCTTTTGTGCAGGTGGGAGGGGGTGGGGGGGTGGGGGTGAAGGAAAAGCAGGATCCAGGAATTGAGCAAGTCTGAAGCTTTGCCTTTGGGCACTCCTTTGGACCTCAGCAAGGGTGCACAGGAGTTGCGTCCAGAGTTTCTGAAGTGGAAAGGAAGTGTATGACTGTGAATACTGTCTACCAACATCCTCATTGCCAGGTCACCAATGGCTCGACCTGTTGGAATCCTTTGGAATAGACCTGTTGATGTTTGGCTGCTGGTAGTAGCAAGGGCATCGCTCCCAGGAGCAAGGCCGCTACTAGGTCTTCCTGGCATCGCTACTAAAGCAACATGAAGCTACTAGATGTCTTCCTGACATCACTACTAGTAGCTAGAAGCTACTACCAGCACCCTCCAACAGGTCACCACCTGCGACCTTTAGGTCCCCAAAAGAGCCTCCATTTCGGAGACCTGTTTATCGTTGTTGTCGGGTGCAGGGCTCAGCTGCACTGGGGCCCATCCTGCCAGGTGGCGCAGCACGCCGGGCGCACCGATCCAGGCAGGGACGGGTGGAAGGGAGGGAAAGTCCATTATAGGGCTCCCAAGCACCCCAAAACCCCTAGCGAGTCCAACCTACAGAACAGTGTCTCCAAACACCTTCTGAGAAGGTACTTGGATTTGTAGGGAAGTGCTAAATTGACCTCCTATACCGGGTTGTTTTGACTCATCCCCATCTGGTTTTCCTACGGCTCCTGTCCCACATCCTCAGTTTCGGTCCTTCGAGCCCGAATGTCACAAAACGGGTTGGAACCAGTTGGACGACCATTCCAAACCTCAAGTAAGACATGCAAAGAGTTTTTGTATTTGTTGATGTCATCAGGATCATGTGGTTTTCTTGTTATAGTACATGGGACTCAACACCTTTTTGGGGAGGCGTGCTAGTTGACCTTGTTTGCCAGCGCCCGTTTACACATTTGTCAATTCTGATCTCAACGGACTGTCCTGTGGGCAAAGTGTGTCGAAAAACTCAACTTGAGCAATACCAAGCAGAAGAATTGGCATCATCTTAGAGTTTAGACCTAGAGCCCAGACATGGACCTCTATTTTGGACCGCCAACTACCCCAAATTGGGTCCAACGTATCAAAACAGAGGTCATACATGGGCTTTGGGCCGCGCTTGCTTGGTATGAACGCCTGGCCTCTTAGACCACGAAGAAGTGTGGAAGAAAGATGTCTTGCACCGCCTGGAAGCCTGGAGGATCTTCATCCTTTCCATTTCTTCAACTCCAGGCGCACATTAGGAAAATCAACAGCCTACATTGCCATACATTGCCTACTTGAACGCAGCCTCCCCACCTGTGAATGCCTTTGGTGGAGGGGTTCCAATTGTGGTGATGTTCACCCGTTGGCCTTCCTCCACGAGGTCGACGAGGTCAACGCCACGAGGGGCTGAGGGCGACTCTGCGAGCTTGAGGGGTTGCGGCCTGCACCTGGGCGAAGACGGTGTTCGCGTGGTTCAAGGCCATATGACGTGCGACTCCATGTGTGCCATATATGCCGATCAGTTGGGGTAGGTCAATATGCCATACATGGAGTGTTTGGGATGTGACGTGCGGTTTTGCTTCATCCCCCCTGGGCACCCCCAGAAACATCTGGTTTCAGGGCGATTTGAGGCGGTCGGCAGCTGTGGGAAGGTCATAGGGGTATACATTGGTCGACTTGGACTACTGCTTTAATGGAAGGTCTTGGGAGGTCATACTGGAAGTGAAATTCCACCTGTGAGAGGGGGTCGAGCACCGAACCTCAAGAAAAAAAGAGCAAAGACTCCATGCATGGAATTATTACTGTAACGATCTGCAACCTATACATTGACCCCTGATGACCCCTGAAACCACCTCAATGTATGTCAATCTGCCGTACATGGAGCATTTTTGGGACGCCCGTTTTTGGCTTGGGGGCGTGGAACTTTTTATGACACCCATTGCACTATACTAGGAAAAGACACCAAAAACAACGACTGAACGACTCGCTCCACCTAAACGAACTTGTTAGGCTCCTTTGCAGTATCTCCCCTCCAACGAACGGGCTGGGTGGGCTCCTCGGCCGAGGTTGCTGCCCATCGGCCCCTTCTGTCCCTTTCGCTCGGACTTTTGGGACGATCCCAACCTCAAAAGCGCGGCGGAAGAGATGGCACGGAAGTTTCTTGATTTTGCTTCGGTAGGGGTGGGGTATATTTCAGGGGGTGGTTGGTGGGTTGGTTGGATTGAAGAGGTTGTAGACTCACTCGGAATCCCCCAACAGTTTCCTGTTAGCACGCATCCGTTGAAGCATCGCATGTGAGGGTTCACTCATCATGTATGTGTTGGTGGGGCTTCCGCACCGCCCTGGTTTTTTTCTTACAAGTCCCAGACACTCCATGGGACTGGCATATTTACCTACATTGACCCCTAAAACAACCACCCCAACTGATCGGCATATGGAGTGTTTGGGAGTTGTGCTGTAACCATGCTAGTATACCGTCCAATCATCATTCGCAAGAGAGGCCGTACAAAGGCGACTGCAGCCACGGGAGGTACCATTAGGGCCTCCAGGAGGGCAACCAACAGACACAAAGAGAGACTGAAGCCACGGGAAGGTGAGTTGGGCGGCCATGGCAACATCCCATACATGATTTGGTTAAGTGGAGATTCTAACATATTCTAACTCCAATCCAATTTGCTAGTCTAAAAGGATGTTATACCAGGTTCCAGGCCAATTGTAGCAGATCCGGTGGAGTCTAGGCCCAGTGGTTAGGGCTCACCGCAGCTTCGCCCAGGCAGCGGCGTCAAGCAGAGCTCACAAGCAAGTTCCAATTGGGGCAGGGCCTTTCTGCAGAGGAGAAGTCTGAGTTATGCTACCTGACCTGATAGAGGGGTACCTATAGGTATACTATAGGATAGTCTATAGGGTTCTTCAACCTCTGATGGATTCTCCTGTTAAGTTGCTTGGGGACCGTCGTTCGTTGTTTCGGGGGAATTAGCGCAGAAGAAGTGTTTTTGACCCTTGCGGACCTCTGAAGAATTGGTTGTTCAGAACTAAGAGAGGGTATAAAACACGTCTTGTTTTTTTTTGCGTTGTTAGTGGCAACATACGAGACCCAAAGGACTATTTCATAGGTTTGTTTGTCTCGTGAGTGGTGAGTGAACGGCCATGGTAAAAGCTTTGTAGACGTTGTAAACCTTTGTAAATTTGTTTGTAATTCAACAACTCTGTCAACTCTTTGCAAAAGTTGCAAACTTTGTACAAATTCTTAAGACTTGTGAAAGTTTTGTAAACTTTGTATAACTTTGTAAAAATATAAAACTTTGTAAACGTTCCAAAAACTGTGTAAAACGTTGCTCTAACTTTGAAGAATAATTTGAAAAACTCCAAAACTTCGTAAAAGGTTTGTTCACCTTTTTACAAAGTTTGCGAATTTTACAAGGTCTTTTTCAAGTTTTACCAAGTTCTTACAAAGTTTTACAAGTTTAAAGGTTGACAAAGCTTACAAAGTTTGACAAAGTTTAAACATGTTTTACAAAGTCTACAAAGTGTTGACAAAGTTTACCAAGTTTATACCAAGTTCACTACTTATTTACAAAGCTTTCAAAGTTGGTACAAAGTTTACAAAGTTTTACACAGATTTTATGAAGTTTGCAAAGTTTTACAACCGTTCACCAACTTTACAAAGTTTTACAAAGTTTACAATATTTTAACACAGTTTACAAAGTTTTGAACAATTTCCAGGGCTTACCCAGTTTACAAAGGTTTTACCATTAAAACATCAATTAAAGACGTATTGAACGTTTTACAATGTTGCTGCAATGTTGACAAAGTTTTTACAAAGTTTACACAGTTTTGCAAAGTATTGAAAGTTTACAAAGCTTGTACAAAGTTTAAACAATCTTTACAAAGATTGCAAATTTTACAATTTTTACATGTAGTTTTTACAAAGTGTACCAACATTTGCAAACTTTACACAGTATTTACATAGTTTACAAAGCTTTCACAAAATTTGCAAAGTTTATACAGTTTACACCGTTTTTGCACAGTATTGAAAGTTTACAACGATTTTACAAAGCTTTGGAATTTGACAGAGCTCTTGCAAAGTTCGGAATTTACACAGTTTTTCAATTTTTACAGAGTCTACAAAGTGTTTACAAAGTTTTCAATCCTTTTTTACAAAGTTTACAAAGTTGTACAACGTTTTACAAAGTTTACAACCGCTTTTTCAAGTTTACAAAGTTTTACAAAGTTTTTACAAAGTTTACAAAGTTTTTACAAAGTTTACACAAGTTTTTCAAGTTTACAAAGTTTTTACACAGTTTACAAGGTTTTTACAAAGTTTTTACAAAGTTTACAAAAGTTTTACAAAGTTTACAAAGTTTTTACAAAGTTTACAAAGTTTTTACA